AAAAAAAAAAAAAAAAAGAAAAAGAAAACTGAAGGCTCTCATTAATTACTTGAAAGACAACAGTAGTGTAGAAAGCAAAAGAAATTGTAGGATGCTACTTGGCTTAAAAGTGAACAATACTGCATTTATAATAAGGGCAATACTAACACTGATTTAGCAAAAGTGGTTATAATGGAGATATATTGGAAAAATGGAAACAAGAAGGCTAAATTACCTATATAACAAGAACAGATATGTCTAAAATTCTTGAATGAAGGAAAACAGTTTAAATATATGTTTTTAAAATATTCAGGTAAGCCCCAGAAATAAAACCTAAAACAGTCTGCACACAGAAGCCTTATTTGGGACAGGGAAAAGGATACAGGAAACATGTGGGTTTACTGAGGAGTCTGGCAGCCCAGTGCTATTTTTTGTAGCATTTTAAGTACTATTTCAACTTTTTAAAACTACATATAAGCATTACTCTGTAAGTATACTTATATGTATTATTTGAAAATTAATATAACATAATTTAAAAATCAAGATTCTGAACTAGCCAAAGCAAACATGTCAATAGCGTACCCAGTTTTAAAACTCAGAAACTGCAAAAACCCCACCAGTCTGAAAATTAGACATCTGGGTTCAGCTCTAGATTTGCTGGTTAGCTGGTCAATGTATCCTTGATCTCATGATTTAACCACTGTGGCCCCATTTTCTCATCTGTGAAAGTTATAATCTTTCTCATCTGTGAAAAAGCTCCGTGAGCTACAAAGTAAATGGATGGTATTAACCACCATCTGGCATCCTGCAGCAGCGAAATATACTGAGGGCTGGGCAGGGAAAGATCTCTGAACATCTGACTCCCATAGGAAACCAAGAGCACCACAGAGTGAACTGAAAGGGCCAGGAACGCCCTGTAATGTGATGCCCACAATGCAGGGTCTGTATCTTGCAACCACTGCCCTGCCAAGGTGATAAGTCATTCAGCTCTTGTGCCACGCTGAAAAAAGCAGGCCAGGCCCCAGCAAAGAAATGTATTTTGCGTAAAATCTCTCAGAAGGTTAATTATGAAGGATTTCAACTCTTTGAGGACCTTTCCTTATATTATTATTTTTTAAGCTGTAGACAAGTTAACAGAGTTTAATTGAGCAAAGAACTATTCTTGAAATCACCTATATGAAACTTGCTGTGTGTGGTTGCTCATGAATGTAATCCCAGCACTTTGGGAAGCCAAGGTGGGAAGATTGTTTGAGTCCAGGAGTTCGAGACCAACCTAGGCAATATAGTGAGATCTTGTCTCTACAAAAAATAAAAAAATACAATGGTCATGGTAGCAGATTACTCTAGTCCCAGCTATTGGGGAAGTTGGGGTGGAAGGATCACCTATGCTCAGAAGCTTGAGACTGTGGTGAGCACTGTACTCCAGCCTGGGTGACAAAGTAAGATCTCTATTCAAAACAAACAAAAATGAGCCTGATGTCTTCCTGATCTCCTTAATGGCATTTAAAGTTTGATCAGCCTGAAAGGTGTGAGCAGCTTTGATCTCCAGGAACCCTGCCTTCTGTGTACCTTTTTTTTTTTGAATTGGAGTCTCACTTTGTCACCCAGACTGGAGTGCAGTGGCCACTCCTGGCCACCGCAGCCCCGACCTGCTGGGCTCCGGTGAGCCTTCCACCTCAGCCTTCCGAGTAGCCGGAATTACAGGCGCACGCTACCACGCCCGGCTAATTTTTTGATTTTATTGTAGAGATGAGGTCTCGCCTGCCCAGGCGGGTCTCGAACCCACGGGCTCAGGCATGCTAAGCTACCTCCATTATGGCTTACTGCTTAGGAGTCAGCAGCCCATGGTAAGACTGGCTTTATAGACAGCCTCTCTGTTGTAAAACTGTTAGGGGCCGGGGTTCTGAGAATGGGGTTTCTTACACTTCTCATGTTTGATTCAAAGTTGTTTATCTAAATGTACCAAGGTAGCTTCTTTAGATTGTTGTAACTTTCCATTGCCCCACTCCAAGGAACTTAGCCTCAGGGTGGATGAAGGACTGTTAGAAGATCCTGAGTCATGCCCTTGTTAATTTAGCCTCCAGGTAGGTAAGGGGCTACGGAATATAAGTATAAATTCTGAAGTAAGCTTGCACACCCTTTAAGCAGGTTTTTGGTAATGATACTGACCAGTTCCTTGTAACCTGGCTGCAGAAATAAACTCCCTTCTGTCCTCTCATCTTCCACTGACCACAAGAGAAACAGCTAGATTAGTTTATCCAGGAACAAAACCTAATGGTGCTTGAGATATTTTTTAGAATTTGCATTCAGATGGACCTGAGGCCCTACCCAGACCTGGGACACATACCAAGAAGCTGACTCCACCAGTCCTGTTGTGACTCTCTCCCAGAAACTGGCTCTACACACAAAAATAGTGTCAACACCCCCATGACATCAACCCCAACCAATCAGCAGCACCTCTTCCCTAGCCTCCTACCCACCAACTAATTCCTTGAAAAATCCTAGCCTAAGCCTCTTGGGGATGCAAATCTGAGAAACGTATTTTCCATCCTGCTCAGTTACTTTACCACATTAAACTCTTTCTCTACTGTAACAGCTGCTGTCAGTCTCAATTTTTCTGGGCAGGGGGCATAAGAACCCAGTCAGGCTGTAACATTCGCAAGTTGGGTAGCCTCCAGAACCAGAATAGGCTCACTGTGACTCTGAGGCTGCCATATGGTTGAATAACATTTATTGACAGAAAAAGGAAAGTGACATACAGAAAACTAAAGTGAGGTACAGAAACAGCTGGATTGGTTACAGCTTGGAATTTGCCAGGTTTGGACAGGGTTTCAAAAATCGGCCATCTGTGATTGTCTGAAAATCGGCTACAGTAATTGGCTGACTCAGCTATTTGTTATAAGACTTGGTTACAGTCTGTTAACACTTCCACATAGGTTACAGTTCCCTATGTATAGAGAAAACTTTAGGCCAAACTTAAAATATAGCTCAAGGCTATACTTAATTTAACACCTACTTAGCATAGGTAACTAGAAGTGCTTGAAACAGAAACAAATTGTGGAATAACTCAGTGAACATCACACTTAGAAAAGTCTGATTTATGTGGCTAATTATGGAATCACAAACAAGAACTGAAAGGGTTGCTAATCCAACCTCCTACCAAGCTTTATGTTAGAACTCAGGAAACACCACCCTGATAAATGACTGCAGAACACCATCCCAAAATATGTCTGCCTGGCATATTGATTACTTCCAGCTAAAATAAACTGAGAACCAACCAACACGGGAAAACTGCTTCAACTTGCCCTCAGCTGCCTAAAATAAAGTATAAGACTCCTCTTTGGTAAAAAGAAACTTACTTCCATAAAGGAAACCTTTATTAGTAAAGGAATCTGTATCAGGAAGACAGCTGGTTGGAGATGACTTTTATCACCTGTAAGGCTTATCTGTATATCAGGCAATCTTAATTCCCCATACATTTCCTCCCCGGACCCTCCCATAATAATCATCTCCACCACCCCCTAGAAGTCCCAAGCCATTATCCCCTGGCCCTTCTTGAGGCTATTTTTGTGGCACTCCGGTGCATGGGTACGTAATCAAACTAGTTTATCTTCTATTAATGTCTTACACAAGTTCATTTGTAGCTCAGCCGAGGAACCTAGAAGGGTAGAGGGAATGTCCTTCCCCGACAGTTGAGTCTTCACACCCCTCTCCCGGGTTAGCTGGGCTCTCCTTGAGCCCTCTGCGGCGAGGGGAGCACGGTGCCTGCTAAGTCAGGCCGCGATGACAAGGGACGGAACGATGACTCCGGCCCCAAGTTCTTCTTTACCCTGAGCGCAGCCGGCCTCTCTGAACTTCCGCCCTCGGGTCCTGGCAGAAATTCCCGAGGCCCAGACAAGTCTACACTGCCTTCCCCATCCTCGGTTCTTCCCTTCCTAACATTACAGGACTCGTTTCCTCTTCCCTTTCACAGCAGACGATAAAATTAGGATTTTCTCCGTCTCTTAGAGGCCCATGAACTAAAAGGCGACACGACAGCGACCAACCTGCCCAGCCGAACTTGTGGGTTCAGTCCCCAAACACCGAGGAGCGCCCGAGAACGCTCCGCTCCGCCCCGCGGCGGCGAAACCCAGCCCCGAAGGCGCAGCGCGAGGAGCCTCCTCGGC